GTTTGAAGGGCGGGGCAGCCGTCGTAACTACACTTGAGACCTTAGAACTTATATACCTCAAGGTGGGTGGCGCATTTACGTCGTAGATGTCTATGGGCTCCAGTAACCACTTAACACCAGGTGGACTGTGAGCTCGTGCACCTATATAAGCCTTAAAAAAACTACTTATACCTCTTGGTGTCTTCTTGTTCTATGGCCTTCCAACATACTCTTCTTAGAGAATCCTCTAAAACAATCCATACATTTGAACTCTGCTTGCAAATATTTCATATCATCAGCTCTCTTCCTGAATTCTTTCAAAGCTTCTGCTTCTGTTAAATCATATTTTCTCCAATTACCAAGATCAACTACTGTTCTATTCTTGATTTTTTGGTTATCATCATTTTCTACATCTGTTTCGTCACTTTTCGAGTTTACTTTTTCTTCTTTTATTCTCACAAATGAAGCTATACGACTATTTGGTTCAGTGTTTTCATAATGTTCCAATATTTCTGAATTAAAGTCTTCATGATTGATAATTTTTTGTTGTCTTAAAAATAATTTAGGTGAGACTCCATTTTGTTTTTTAATTTCTTCATGTGAGTATGAATCTTCGTGTATTCTAATTATGAATGTTTTATTGTTACTCTCATTAGATGATACACTTAAATTGGAATTTAGATATTTGCTTTGCCTATCAATCTTGTATACCGATTCATAAGTTATCTGAAAATGACGTGAATACGAAATAGTACACAAAAATACACTATACATCTGTAAATGGTCGGAGTTTTTTATTTAGACAATATAAATTCCATTTTAATACATGGGTTCAAAGCTTGAATTGCCTGTACAAAATCTGTCATACACATTAATCCAGTATAATAATATAGTTTATTTTATTTCTTTCTAAAAGATTTAGAATACAATTCAATAAAATACAATGTATGGAATGGAATGGAATACATTTGTCAAACCTTTGTAAAATAAAACCTATGAGAAAGCTAGTCTCTACTAAGTTGCAAATATACTTTACGAATCTCTTTTTTGCCACGTACCATTCGGCTATGGAATGAGCTCCCCTCCACAGTGTTTCCCGAGCGCTATGACTTGTCCTTCTTCAAACGAGGCTTGTGTAGAGTATTAAGCTGTAGGAGGCGGCTTGGCTCTGCCCCTGGCATTGCTGAAGTCCATGGGCGACGGTAACCACTCACCATCAGGTGGGTCGTCTGCCTACAAGGGCAATAAACACAAAAAAAATCTCTCCCTCCCTCCTTTTTAGTTGATTGCTGATGTTATGTTAATTTTATAAATAAGTTTACAAATATTAATATAATAAACCAGATGTCAGGAGCTTGTAATAAGAGACCAAAACAGTTATCTTTTATGTAAGTACAGTGTGAGTGTGAGTGTGTACGTGCGTGCGTGCGTGTGTATGTATGTGTGTGTGTGTGTGTGTGTGCAGTTCATTTTTTTAGTAAGAAGTAAGTTTTCTGTTCTCTAGGCACCATAATTAAGAACTCACCCCGCCTTTCCAAAGAAGCTCTCTTAATACCTTTTGTCCGTTGTAACATTTTTCTTTAAATTTATGGAATTTATATAAAATCATCACACATTCATAACAGAAGTAATGTGGTAGGCCATCGTTGACATTTACCTGTAAAATTCCCTTTAAAATATTAATATACGAAAATTGATTCAAACTTGATTGCATAAATTAAAATGTCCATTAGTATTTTCAGAATTGATTTTATTATTGTTACAACGGAAATTGAATTTAACTTTTTGCTACCAACATTTTCTATGGCATTTTTAAGTTTTTTTTTTTCTGTACTCAGAGATCGTAAATTATTTCCTTACATACTTATTGTATTTTTTAAGTTGTTATTGGTTCCCGTGTTTTCAAACTGTAAGTACTCACTTTAGTCAATATCATAATGTTGTTCTTTTTTTAAAGTTTAAATACTCAAGTTTAGCTATCTAGGGTTGGTATGGTGAATTTACTTAAAAAGTATTAAAAATCGACATGTCACAAACGATAAACCAAAGGAAGGTAGGGCTTGATTCTAGATTTTAAAGCCATCGCAATCATTCATTTTCGTAAGCTAATAATTAGCATTATGTTTTCGCGAATGTTTCATTGAAATTCCATACAAAAATCGTAAAAAAATGATTTGTTTACATACCTTTATAGCCATGACTTCTTCATAATAATATTTTAACTGATATAGATCGTAATCGTACATTTTCGCTTCGGTGCGTAAGCATATTCTACATATCTTAAGATCAGACATATTTTTTTAACAAGATATGAAGATTTTCATTCATAAATATTAATTTCCTTTTTGGTGGATCAATACATAGCTATGGTAAACAATACAAGCAGTTCGTCAAATATTGTCAATAACGACAATTCCGTTAATGTCATTCGTCTTTTATGGTTATTTTTTTTAGCAAAGGGAACGGAGCCCATACGTTTATAATACAAAACGGTATATTATAAAAAGCGAAATGCAACAACACCGCGTATGTTGCATCAGATGAAATAGGCTTTCAGTAAAATAGTGGGAATTTACTGAGAGTTCCATTGAATCTTATGAAACTGATGTGCTACATAAATTCAAATAGTTTTGTTTTGCCACGCTAGTAACTTTTACAGATGCTAAATTACTTATAAGCCTACATTATTGCTCGTTTAATACTAAAACAATAAACACAAATCGAAACAATGCCATCTGCGTTTGGTAGGCAGGTTTTTCATTCATGCATTGTCATCACACTGCGATTTACGCTATATAGCTGAGACAGAGGTCAGGTATTTGTTCAGTTAATTGAATGGAATGATCAAGGACAAAGAATTAAAGTAGGTATTGATATTATGATTACTTATGTTCATCAAGAGATTTGCCCGTAAGTGTAGCCAAAATGTTTAGTTGTGTTTTTGTTACAATTGTAACTTAATATGGTTTAGTTACAAAACTGCGGTAGGCAGCTGGTTGACTCTGCCCCTGATATTGCTGTCCATGAGAGGTGGTACTCACTCAGCATCAGGTGGGCCGTATGAGGGTCTGCTACAAGGGCAAAATAAGTTGCTTTTTTTTTTTTTTTTCCTACCTAAGCTGATAGCCCTAGCGGCTATGTCAGCGTAACCCTAACTTTAGTAGGTGAGCTCACGGGGCTCAAACCTGACGATGTTGCTAACACGAACCCTAGCAAGAGCCGTGCTTCGCAGAATCTACCACCGGATCGGAAACGCGATCCACTGAGAAGATCCGGCGAGAAACTCAGTGGGCTGTGTCTGAGAGTTAATTTACTCGTCGAGCCCTTCGTTGCAAGCGACGGGTTCGACGAGAACGGTGACCGGTGCTTGAAGTACCTAAAAGCACCGTTAGTGGATCGGGAGGATCCGAGATGACGTGTTTTGGGCGACGTCGACTGCTTTCCATTCTGTCCGCAGGATCGGGAATGTAATAAGTTGCAGTGTCCTCATCTCGCATGGTAACAACTTATCACTGTCGTCCATAGAATATAAAAAAGGAGAAACATCATATTACATGCAAATAAATAAAAAGTACCAAGTAATTCAGTCTAAACATTTATTAATATCTACTCAGGAAAATACTAGAAATAATAAATAAAAACATACACACAGCTTAATATAAGGTAAAATGTATAATGTACAAAAATGACAAACGCTGATACGATAGGCAATTTTTACTTTTTTTAGTTTTTCTTAAAAAACTTCTAATCATTTTCTGTCTGTTTTTCTTTGTCTGGGAAAAATCAGACTTTTATTCATACTGCTATGATTTAGAAACAGCTACGGCTATCTTTTCGGTTAACTATTCTATTATGTTTTATTAACTTTTACACATAAAACATCAGGGAATCCCCTAGGGCTTAGGGGTTCATTTCGCTACGCGACATTAATCTTTGCAATCCAAGGTCCGTTTTATTCAGTATTAACATCAACAGTTTGAGGTTTATAATTGAACTTCAATTAAGTTTACTCCGTGTTTACTCCATGGCTGAAGATTCTTTTTGCTGTGATGTTTTTTTAAATTTTAATCTTTAATAAATATTTTCAAATTTTAAGCTAACACGAGAGCCGTGCAAAGTTGAAAAAAAATGTCGTTTAAACCAAATAGCCGTAAAAGTCAGTCAATTGTTTACCCAGCACCTAAAAAAATCTAAAATAGATCATTTGAGGGCATCGGGATCCGGGAGACGATCATTTCTGTTATCTCAAGCAACCATAATAACAGTATTGCTTTTCAGTGACCCAAAATTGTGACTAGTACGCGATCAATTCGCCCTTCACTATTCTAGATATGATCGACAAAATAACACAGATTAAAAATACTTCCAGATTGAATACTTACAAATATTCCGTCACAGTAATACTAGGCACTTAGAACTATTCTCATTTGCCGAACCTACTTCGTTGTTGCAACTGAGATGACATTAAATCTCTTTTGTTTGACTGTAACGTTTGAAATATAAAACTAAGATATGAAAATGTAAAACTTAAGATTTGGCTGTATGGCTTAGTTCCATTGCCATTCTCTTCCTTTTTTGTGTGTGTGTGTGTGTGTGTGTGTGTGTGTGTGTGTGTTTTTGATGCACGTGAAATTAAGATGATTCACGTCCTTACGGATCCATCAGATCCAATAACCTTTGCATTAGACGCCTTCAGCTCTAACACTAGGAGCAGGCTTAGGGACCGGTAACCGTACTCGTCGAACTCGACAAAGAGGTCGACGTGCAACCTAGCCCATGCATCAGCCCGCTGAGTTTCTCGCTGGATCTTCTCAGTGGGTCGCGATTCCGATCCGGTAGTAGATTCATTCGCGAAGCAATTGCTCTTGAGTTGTTAGGTCTCCTTCGGAGGCGCTTGGGCAGTTGTTAGCAAATCCCACCCTTCCTGGCTGAGCCTTTGCTCGCCTACCTGCCCTGGTGAAACTGGAAAGGCCTTCGGGACACCAGTAATCTTTCAATCATAAAAAAAAATGATTCACGGTCAATGACCATTGACTTCGGAGCTCTTTATACATTGCGGGTTCGTGAAATATGCATTAAAACTATAAGTAAGAAGTATGTTTTATTTATGACCTATTCATTTGTTGTTTAGGATTATAGTTTAGAAATTCATAGTATGTTCCGGGTTCGATATTCAGTCATAATGAGTATTTTTATTGGAGGTAGGGCAGCAGCTTCGCTGACGTTCGTGACCGACGACGACTATTCATCATCAGTGGGCCGTAAGCCATAATAAGGTATTAAAAAAAAAATAGGGGTCTGGATTGGCTCGTTCTGGTCTCGTGTGTTCACAGTAACCGCAACACAAGAAAATACTAGTTGCTCAATATATTATGCACCCAAATCAAGTTCTAGAGAATGTGGCAACACTGACCGGGATTCTCAAATAGGTTCACGAGAAGTTATTCTTGCATATTTAATATAAAATATAAGAATTAAATTGCTCAAAGAGGACGCGTATTGTATTCTTTATTGGCATTAATCGGTCTTCCGGGTGTCTGAAGTTGCGCAGTGGCAACCCTGTCAAGGGCTCCGAGACCGCGAGCACGTGTACTCATCCACCAAGACTTGGAGCACGGACGTCTTACCTACTAGACCAGAGAGGCTTAGGTGCCAAACCACGGAGTGGCGTTCACAAGCGCATGGTCCTCCATCTCTCTAAAGGCAAGTCGTCAGCCGCTTCCTTGTTCTGATAATATTCCGCTATGAGAGCCGTTTCATCGGAGTCTTCGGATTTCTTCTTTCGATTCCTGGAACAAAGGAATGATGCACCCGCGATAATGACGAACTCGCGGGTAGTTGTATTTATTGCGTTAGGGTCATTTTCACTGGTCGTTAGAGCCCGCATGCGGGGTACAAGAGATTTCTGTTCAAGCATGCCATAGGGCCAGCATGCGATAGCAGTTCTCATTAGTCGATAGCGCGTATTGGGGGACTCCCCGCCTGCTGTATAACGACCGAATTAACGACCAATGAAAATTAAGCGACTCCTACCCACAACTACGAACATAAGCTACACAGTCGAGTAGAAGGTGTGGGTAGGTAAACTGGTGCAAGCCCTGGGCAACTCACCAGGGGTAAGATACACCCATCGTACTGTTTTAAATTAGGACGGTAGTCAGTTAGTGTAGATGCAGTGTTTAGTAAGTAGATTCGATTGTTTAATAAAAGCCACATTGCCAGAAAGGACAACGGCATCTTGGAGAAGCTAATGGTGACTGGCAAGGTGGACGGAAGAAGACTACGAGGTAAAGGCCCGACACGTTGGACTGACCAGATGTTCACGATCCTTTTTATGATAGAAGTAAATAGCGTAGAATGATTCAGAATACTCTTGTTTCGAGGAGGTGGTCACGACCCTCAGTATTGACAAAACCGAAGCGAGAAACAGAAAAAATAAGAGCACGTGTTAACAAACATACGTATAGAAGATACCTTGAAAGTGTTATCAGTGCGATTCAGTTGTTCAGATTACGCCCGACAGATGTCGCTACTTATTCGTTTGTTTTTTTTTCTCTCATCTTACCTTTTCGGATAAGGTTGTTTCAAGTGTATGGTCCTGTAGTGCAGCTTCATGCTGGCCACCTGAGTGAACCGCTTATCGCACAGCGAACATTCCACAGGCTTCTCGCCCGTGTGCGTCTAGAAAACAGAACGCAGACTGAAGCGTGTTTATCGGAAGTTGGACTTTAAGTTGATGGTGTTAAGCTTGCGTAGAGCGCAGACTGAAGCGTGTCTAGATTGGACTTTAAGTTGAAGGCGTTAAGCTTGCGTAGAGCGCAGACTGAAGCGTGTCTAGATTGGACTTTAAGTTGAAGGCGTTAAGCTTGCGTAGAGCGCAGACTGAAGCGTGTCTAGATTGGACTTTAAGTTGAAGGCGTTAAGCTTGCGTAGAGCGCAGACTGAAGCGTGTCTAGATTGGACTTTAAGTTGAAGGCGTTAAGCTTGCGTAGAGCGCAGACTGAAGCGTGTCTAGATTGGACTTTAAGTTGAAGGCGTTAAGCTTGCGTAGAGCGCAGACTGAAGCGTGTCTAGATTGGACTTTAAGTTGAAGGCGTTAAGCTTGCGTAGAGCGCAGACTGAAGCGTGTCTAGATTGGACTTTAAGTTGATGGCGTTAAGGTTGCGTTCGCGTTGCGTTACCAGGTAGTGCCTCTGGAGGGTTCCCTTGGCGTTGAACTGCATGCCGCACGTCGCGCACGTGTACTGCTTCTCGCGCGTGTGCGTGTTCACGTGACTGTACATGCTGTTCGGCTGTTAATGGAAACGAACACGCTTTAACATAATGACGTACAGACAAATTCACCGGTCATAGTTCTCGTCGAACCCGTCGCTTGTGACGAAGGGCTCGACGAGTAAATTAACCCACAGACACAGCCCACTGAGTTTCTCGCCGGATCTTCTCAGCGGGTCGCGTGGTTCGCGTTAGGGTACTTGTTAGCAACAACGTCAGGTTTGAGCCTCGCGAGCTCACCTACTAGTTCGGTGAATCTAGAATAACCCCTCGAGGTTACTAGAATAAATTTCTGACGCGTTATCTCTCTCTCTCTCTCTCTCTCTCTCATGGACTTCAGCAATGACAAGGGCAGAGCCAAGCCACTGCCTACCCTTAAGTACTCTCCACAAGCCTCGTTTGAAGAAAGACATGTCATAGCGCTCGGGAAACACCGTGGAGGGGAGCTGATTCCATAGCTGGGTGGTACGTGTCAAAAAATACCTCTGGAAACGCACTGTGGATGACCGCAGTGGCTCCAGGTAGTGTAGATGAACTGTACTCGGGTGGTGGGTGGTGCGAGATGATGGTATCATCTCAAGCAATTCTTTAGATATTAGATATGTAGATTAGTGGGTAGGATGCTCTGACCGCCAGCAGAGCCCCGCAGATCTCGCAGATGTGGCGCTGGTGCGGGTCGGCGGAGGGCGGGGCGCGCGCGGCGGCCGGCGCGGGCTGCCCGGGGTGCTCCGCCTGGTGGTGCTTCATGTACGCCACCAGGGTCGAGAAGTTCTTGTTGCACTGTCAGACATGTTCACAATACATGTTATATGGTACTTATGACGACTGAGCTTGTAGCTTAAGTATTGTAGGTACTTTTTGACGAAGCATGTTGCTGATAACTCTATTTCTGTAATCTGATGAAGCATGTTGCGGATAATAACATGTACTTTTAGGTTAGGAATATTATTTCAAAGCTATATTTGTTTTATTATAAACTGTTTCTCTGTAAGTGATTTTTGGGAAATTAAAAATATATCAATGTCGTGTTCACAGTCTTAGATATGTAATGTTGTACTTTGGGAGGTGTTAAAGGTGTTTAATTATCATCTTATCTATCTATCAATTATGTTATATACTAAATGCAATGCTAATACTATGCTATGCTATAATATGTAAGTATACACACTTCAGATGTGAACGAACAACTGCAGCTCACAGGTGAATTGAAGTCATCGTGGCCTAAGGGATAAATAAGACGTCCGGTGCCTTCGTATGTAGCGATGCACCGGTGTTCGAATCCCGCAGGCGGGTACCAATTTTTCTAATGAAATACGTACTCAACAAATGTTCACGATTGACTTCCACGGTGAAGGAATAACATCGTGTAATAAAAATCGAACCCGCAAAATTATATTTAGCGTAATTACTGGTGGCAGGACGTACTGTGAGTTCGCGCGGGTAGGTACCACCGCCCTGCCTATTTCTGCCGTGAAGCAGTAATGCGTTTCGGTTTGAAGGGTGGGGCAGCCGTTGTACTGTTAAAGCTGAGACCTTACGACTCATATCTCAAGATGGGTGGCGGCATTTACGTTCTAGATGTCTATGGGCTCCGGTATCCACTTAACATCAGGTGGGCCGTGAGCTCGTTCACGCATCAGAGCAACAAAAAAAAAAGAATCGTAGCATTAAGAGTTGTCACAAGGTCTGTTACAATACACACTTACAATGGTACAGGGTGTTTGTTTTCTTGGAGCTCTTCTTACAACGGTCCCTCCCTTTAAGTTCATGGGCGCGGGTGATTCTCCTGAGCTGTACAAACGACAAATTATAGCAGTGACTTAATAGGTATGAAGCACGCATAAATAAACATATAATCTTTTTTTTTAGACTTTCCACAATCTCACCTCACTGAAGCAAAGAGAACAAGATTGTAAGTACTGTATTATTTTAACGTGTCTAACAGTTGTTGGCTTTACACCGAAGCTAATGTTCAATGTCATGTATAATTAATCGCTACACCATTTCTTCGCATCTTATATATAAAAAATATTTAAATAAAACCAGTTTTATATTTCACACATATGTCCAGCATTCATTCGCCGTCTCTCTTACCTCCTAACACGACATCTCCTATCTCTCTCACTCAGTCATGCTCCATATCTTTCATTGATCTATCCATTTCGTTCCTACCTAGCTAGCATAGCTAACATACGTACGTACATAGAATGCATGGCGGAATGTATCAGATGCTCCTCGTAAGCTCGCCTCGATTCAAATTTGATATCGCACCTCTCACAGTACGTGGTTTCCTCAATCGAATCATCTTCTTGTCTTTCCTTTGAATAAAATTAACAATTAAATTATAAAGCATATTTTGTGTGTGTGTGTGCTTTTTTCGCACAAATCTAGAGCATCGAATTGTTGAATTAACAAAAAGAATCTTCAGATTAAGCTATAAGCTTTATTTTAATTAATATTACATTATCATAATCAAACTATTCTGTTAGCGTTACGAAGCTAATGGGGTGAGTTAATTAAAGTCGAATGTACTTTACACCTAACGATTAATGTTTTTTATATATACTTATTTTATATAATAATATGTAAAGAAAAACCTTTATTATTTAAAACTCTTTAGTTTCTAAAAATTATTTTTCTTCAGTATCATTCAGTGTCTACCAGTAAAAAAATAAATGAATTTTGTATAATATATTATTAATACTGTTTAAAATAATAATTTTAAAAGAGATGTAAGGGCTTTAAATGTCGTTCTCTTATTTAATCATAGAAAACACAATTAAGTATTTTATTGTTTATTCATTCTTTACTTTTCATTTCGTTTACTCATTCAGTCATTTTTGGGATGGTATGGACATGACGTGATGAGACGAAATGAAAATGAGGATAGTAAGAGAGTGTTAGCTATGAATGTGAAAGGATTATAAAGGAAGAGGTAGACCTAAGAAGAAATGGATGGATTGCGTGAAAGACGATATGTGTAAGAGGGCAGTGAGCGAAGAAATGGTATATGATAGAAGAGTATGGAAGGAGAAAAGGTGTTGCGTAGAGCCCAGGTGAGTGGGAGAAGAACAGGAGAATGATGAACGATGATTGTTTGAAATACTCCTTATCATTATATATGTCGGAGAAGCCACAATAATTAACACCATCGTCAGATTTCGTAGGGGTGAATAGGGTGATAAAGCTAAGAAAAATATTGAGTACACCAATCACGTTTGTTTAGAACAATTTAGAAAATCTGCTCTTGACGTTAGCAAACGAAAACGAATGACAGTTCTTAGGACGGAGGCACCGCTCTTCAAGAAGGCTGGTTGGTAAGTGTGATGGCGTCTACGCGCCTCCATCGGCTAGGCTCTGTTGTAGCACGAAGTTAGCTGAGTTCCGACGATACCGCAATCGTGTTGCCATCTCTCGGGAATCGTGCTGCGTTTCGCTTAGCTACCAAACTAATAACCGTCTCTGACATGTATATGCATATATTTTTTTATTATTTTTTCATGATCTTAGATTATCTAGACGGTTAGCGTGGTATGGACATGTGATGCGTAGAGAGAAGATGCTTGTGAATAGGAGATGTATGGAAATGGTAGTGCAAGGTAGAGGGGGAAGAGGTCGACCGAAGAAGACATGGATGGAGTATGTGAATGACGATATGAGAGAGAGAGAGAGGAGTAAATGTTGAGATGACGGCTGATAGAAGAGAATGGAAGAAAAAAATTAGCTGTACCGACCCCACCTAGTGGGATAAGGTGGAGAAAAAGAAGATAATCTTAGATTATCTCTGGAAGCGTCCAGGGTCTTATTACGTCACGAGGCCTATTCGCTACCAAGTGGAGATTAAGTATTGCGTAAATGCGCAGTGGCGCTACTCACGGCGTCCATGACGTGCTTCACCCTCCTGTGCATGTAGAGTCCAAATTCGCTGACGAAGGACTCTCCGCACAGAGCACACAGATGTTTGCTCCTGTGCTTCCGGAGGTGCGTGTAGTACGTCGACAGATGTCTGCCGATAGAATTCGGCGTTCATTTCCGACTATACTGGTGATAGGACTTCTTGTGAGTCCGCACGGGTAGGTACCACCGCCCTGCCTATTTCTGCCGTGAAGCAGTAATGCGTTTCGGATTGAAGGGTGGGGCAGCCGTTGTAACGATACTTGAGACCTTAGAACTTATATCTCAAGGAGGGTGGCGTATTTACGTTGTAGATGTTTATAGGTTCCGGTAACCACTTAACATCACGTAAGCTGTGAGTACGTCCACCCATCAATGCAATAAAAATAAAAAGTTCACTATGATTATTTTTCGAGTATTAAAGTGATAACTTCTTAAGGTAAGATAAGACGCTTCGTTACGTAACGCGTGACGGCGCCAGTCTTGCTTCTCTTTCTCTCACGCGTGCGGCAGTATTAAAAGCGTATGTAACTCCTAACAATTTATAGATATTTTTCAATTTATGTTACGACTTTCCTTACATCATCATCATACATAAAATTTAAGTAATAACCTAAGCTTTTCTCAAGTTAAACAATTACAATATTAAATAGTTCAACTTAGATTAGTTTAAGTTATCACTTCTGTCCGGCGTCCCAAGACGCACACGTTTTTAGTACGCTTTTATTAGCTTCAGACGTATGTATGTTAGTATGTAACGGAATATTTCAACATGATTTTGACTCCCTTCAAAACGTCGGATTAACTCGGAATTTGGTATACTTATTAAGGACCAATGACAATTCGATATTAAAAAATAATAATGTAAAATTGAAATTCAACTAAAAAATGAACAGTAAATAATAGTTTAAAAATGATTTTATTGTAAAAAAAAGCGTGGGGTGCATGGTATCAGTAGTTATAAATATTTTATGTACAGATATGAGTAGAAGGGTTATTTTGATAATATCCTGAAAAGCACCCCACCTTTTTTACAATAAAATCATTTTTTCTTAGACCATTTTTAATTTAAATTTATTAAAATATATTTTCTATTTTTTAGTTGGATTTTCTATAAAAGCGTATTTTGTTAGTTTTTTTAAACTATGATTTTTTTAAGACATAACAGGTGATCTAATAAACGAATGGTTGACTACAGATTATAAAATTCAACTTCACTCACTTAAATGTCTCGTTGCAGTATTCACACGTTCTCGTCACACCGTTGTGGAACTGATCATGATGCTGGGCTGACGTCCTGGAATGAAACGTAACAGATCTATTTATCCAAGATTCTCATAGACCGTTTGAAACAATTTATAAGTTAATTTTTGTATGACACTACGAATAAGATTTTTTTACATGTTTAAAGTGATTTATGTTGGTGATACGTTTCGTTTTGATATACCCACCCTGTATATTTATACATCAAAGAAATATGCATATACTGGGTGTTAGGAGATCGCTTGCGAAAACGAATACAGACGATAGTACTAATGACACCTTAAATGATGGGACGGAAAAAAATAGATCCTGACTAAAAAAACATATTTTTAAAACGTTTTATCAGCATTATTTATCCATCATGTTAGTACAGCTAAATGAAGCGATAGTTTCACAAATACATGAAAAAAATACATTACTTAAAAAAACCAGCAATGAAAAACAAAATTAAAAACAGCTGATGCTCGGGTCAACGAAATCCCGGGCGTGGCGCAGACTCGCGCGATCGCACAAATACTTATTTACAACATTTGTCTAAATAGCTCCATCGTCAAAGGTGTCATTAGTACTATCGTCTGTCTTCGTTTTCGGAAGCGGTCTCCTAAAGGTAGTATTCCGATGTTGGCGACCAGGGCGACAGGTGACCGCGACTAGCGACCGCAACCCTGGTCGCGTGACCGGGTCGCTTGCTTTTTTTTTTTTTTTCCTACCTATGCTGGTAGCCTGGAGCGGCTATTCCAGCGTAACCGTGGCAAGTAGGTGAGCTCACGGGGCTCAAACCTGACGACGATGCTAACACGAACCCTAGCAAGAGCCGTGCTTCGCAGAATCTACCACCGGATCGGAAACGCAATCCACTGAGAAGATCCGGCGAGAAACTCAGTGGGCTGTGTCTGAGAGTGGTCGCTTGCGTTGTTTAGGGTTCCATATAAATTCATACTAAGCATTAAGTCGCGCGATCCGATTCCGGACGCCTGTCGCCTGTCGCAGTCGTCGGTCGCGGTCGCCCACATCGGAATGCTACCGTAACACCCAGTATAATCTGTTAGGATTCGATGTCACGAATTAGATATTCATTCATAAGAGAGAACACAATAAACACGCAAAGTTCGGAAATTATAACATAAGTGAAATCGTGTCGTAAGCTGTAAAAACGGTTTAACAATCGTGTCGGTACTTACTCTCTGGAAAATATGAGGTCGCATCGCAAGCACTTGTACTTATTGTAATGTTCACGAATGTGTCTCCTCAGGAGCGACTTCCACTTGAAGCGGATCCGACAGAAGCGACACTCGATCGAGCCGTTTGACTAAAAAGGTAGTTTATCTATATGCATATATAGATATATAATTCTACTGTACGTGTGTATGTCACCGAACTTCTAAACGGCTGGACCGATTTGAATTAATTTTTTGTATGAGTTTGGGTGGCACCCTGGATGGTTTATTTTTGCAGCTGATATCTTTTTTTTGTTTTATTGCTTAGATGGGTGGACGAGCTCACAGCCCGCCTGGTGTTAAGTGGTTACTGGAGTCCATAGACATCCACAACGTAAATGCGCCATCCCCCTTGAGATATAAGTCCTAAAATCTGAGTATAATTACAACGGCTACCCCACCCTTAAAATCGAAACGCATTACTGCTTCACAGCAAAAATAGGCGAGGTGGTGGCACCTACCCGTGCGGACTCACAAGAGGTCCTACCGCCAGTAATTACGCAAATTATAATTTTGCGGGTTTGATTTTTATTACACGATGTTATTCCTTCACCATGGAAGTCAATTGAGAACATTCGTTAAGTAAGTATTCATTAGAAAAATTGGTACCCGCCAGCAGGATTCGAACACTGGTGCATCGCTAGATACGAATACACCGGACATCTTATCCTTTAGGCCACGACGACTTCAAACTTCGACTTGGAAGTTATATACTTAGTTAATATTGATAGTATGAAACTGACCTCACTGTGCCTTAATTTATTGTGCCTCTTCATCATGTCCTCTTTAGAGAACCCTTTCAGACAAAATGTACACTTGTAAACAGCGCTGATGTACTTTGGGTCTTGGGCTCGTGACTGAAATTCGTTTACAGCGTCTTCTTCAGTCAAATAAAATCTCTGCCAGTTTTTTTCATTCAGTTCTCTTTTCTTTCTTTCTATAGCTTTCAACTCAATTTTTTTCCGTTTCTTTTTACTTTTACTTTTCTTATATAATTTTGGTAACTTTATTTCTTTTATTACTTCCTCATATTGTATATCGGTAGCATTAACTTCTATATTATTATCAGAGGCTGTACATTCTTCTGTGATGTTTTCGGCTTTATCATCATCATCAATTAAAAAGTCCATTTTATCAGCAGATTCTTGTTCACAGGTGACTATATCACTTTGTTCATTAATTTCATTGTGATCATCATCATTTTTAATTGACTCTGCTTGATCGTCATCAGGAATGTTTACCATTTCTAAACTGATACTAGTGATTGAGGGATTTTCTCTTGATTTACGTTTAAGAATTCTGCGATGCCTTTCAAAGTATGTTTTGACTCTGGTTGTTATCATTGTTACACCTATTGTTGTGTCTAGATTTTGAGTTGCTCTATCAATTTTAGCCACTTTCTGTAGAGTTACCTAGAAATGTTGTCTCTCAATAGAAATTAGGGTCCAAATGAAGCTATCTAGGAATGTAATGAGGGAATGGAACCAGTATGATTCGGCAAAGTGAAGCAGTACGGTAACTTTTTTATCATGGCCTACTTGAATTATGTCTCAGACCCATGCAAACAGGGCAACGCAAATCTACCATTATCTAACAATGTCCTATCAGATCCTCCTGCTCCATTTGGTCCTTTAATATAATATAAAATATGATACAAAGCAAATTCTATTAGGATATAAGATATCAATTTTAATACCAAGACTTTTAAATGTAAAATCTTGATTCCCTGTTGTTAATTAGTTACCTATTTTTTGTTACTAATAATTTACTTACTCCACCACTTCCCAACAGCCGTTTGAGTTCATTAAGACCATTTTCACATTTGTTTTTAAATTTGTAAAATTTATGTAACAAAGCAGCACATTCATAACAGAAGAATCTAGGCAAAGTATCATTTTTCTTCAGCTGCAAATGAATTTTTTTTTGTTAATTTAACCATCATGAAGTTATTAGCATATTATTATTTATTATCCAAAACATAACTCAATTGCAAATTTAGCCAGTAGTTCTCTGAGAAAGTCAAGCCAGTGTCACAGTCAAGCTGTTAAGTAACATATTTAAGAGTTAATTTAATAACTGAAATAAAATAAATAGCAATAAAGAATAAAATAATGATTTGGTTTCAGATAAATTTTATGGTAACATTTTTAACATTTGTGTACCTTAGTACAACTTCTATGTTCTATTGGATTTTGTAGTGTCTATTAATCCGGGTAGGCTGATTAAACAGTGCGTGATAAGTTAGAGTGAAGTGAATATTTTGTTATTAACATACCTTTGTTGACATTATCTGTTCGTAATAGTCTTTTAACTGATGTTTTTCCCATTCGTACATTTTTACGTCTATATTAAGACATATCCTGCACACTTTTAAATCAGACATTTTATTTTTTCTTTCTTTAGCATGCTAAATTAATAAACTTTTGTGATCTGAATTTATCTTTGTAAATTGTAAATCAAATTTCGATGCAAGATATTTATATTATGTTGTATATGCATTTTGAATTTAAATCTCAATAAACGTATTGTATGTTTTTATTTATTAAAGCCGGCATATGTATTTATAGAATTTATATTACATACACATACTAATATTTACTAATAAATATTTTTTTAAATCGGAAAGCAGCCTATATGTAGGTACCCTTAGTCTCGAATATATTAAGTGTATAATCTATGACCCTTAGGTAGCTACAACATCAAATCGACAATTCAGTTTGGTTTGACAGTGACATAATATTCTAAAGGCACAGACTTTAAACAAAGTGATTGTAGAGTAAAAATTGCGCCACCACTGCGTGCGATAAGCGGTTTGAGTTAACTTTGGCTTAACTCAGGGGGGTGCAACTCCCATACAAAGGAAAAGAACATTCAACTAGCGTCATCTTTAGGAACCGGCGAGGTCATTTTTGAAACGTTTTGGCCTTAATGAACTAATAAACTCACTAGATGGCAGATACGAGTTCTGACTCAATAAAAAAGGTTAGCGTACTTTGAAGCAGTGCTTCCACTTTTGGGGAATTCTCCCTTTTTTAGGGANAATTCCAGCGATTCTAAACGATAAGATTTTTTCATAAAGAGAGTTATTAAAAATATTAAAATTACTAAAAAAGCCACCTGGTGGGGGGTAGGGAGACTAATAATCGACCGTAGCGACGCCTGCTGGACCGGGCTTTAACTAAAGCAAAAATAAAAATGAGAGTTGCGCATCTATCTCTAATATATTAAGTGTATAATCTATGGCTTAACTTACGGCCTGGCCACGGGGATCGGCGGTGCGAACGACGAAGCGGTAGATGAGGCGACCATTCGCGCGGCACCGTTTGCAGGACACGGGTAGTTACGTTCGCGGCCGCGACTAGCAAGGAGGTCCGACAGCGAAATGTCTATATCGAAATTATCTCGATATTGCTTAGAAAGTAATAATTTTTTGGTTCAAGACCTATTACTTGGAAGAGATTGTGGAGTGCACGATTTGAATAAGAATCGGAGTATAGATGGAGAATTCCACAAGAAGCACGAGAAATACAGAATGTATCCAGAAAATTTTTGGCTGGATTTGGGTGGCTAGACTTCCAAATAGCTGGTCTAGTTAGTATTTCAGCAATAAAAAATTCAGTGTTCATTTTTCGCGGCGAAAACAACTAAACTCATTTAATCAATGCACTATTCGCCGCGACTACCGCTCAACTCCGTAGCTCGCACCGTCCGTATTCATGCATTTGTTTTGCTCGCCCGCCATGTCGCAAGTCGCCCGCGCGATTCGCTCGGTACATTTCGCCGGTCGCCACTGCGCGTGGCTTGATAAGTACATTGCTATGCGTTTATGTCCCGTAGCCAGGCTGTTATTTGGGGAAAGTTAGAGATAATTGAAGTGACGGTAAGTTGAAAATGACAGCGTAATAAATATAAACAAAAATAAGTTTCACGTTACACCGTCGAATATTTGGCGAAATAAAACAGTTTGAATTATAAATGCATCTATTAAACTTTATTCCATAAAGAAACTATAATAAAACAATGTTTTCAAGACATAGCATAAAATATAATAATGATAGATGGTAAAAATGACAATGTGTTCGAAGTATATTTCAAATAATGGAATATGGAAAAGAAGGTTACAACAGAAACACCATTCGAAACTTTGCAACACTCAATCCGGATGTTTACTTCTGTGCTTTCAGTAGGACATGCAGTTTAAAAAAAAAACAGCACAATAACCCTTCTACGATTTGTAGTAACCTCATACATACCAGTAGTATGCGTGTTTGTTCGTTGCATCACAAAATTATTAGATTAGCTTGAAAGTCAGTTGTCATTCCCTCATCCACTCCGAGATCTCCGACATGTTTTAAATTCCGCATAAATAATAAATACTAATTTTTCGATATTACGTAAATCCTATCTAAAATGGATATTACATCGACTATCGCATTCACAATAGGGAAGCATACGCATAGCGCGTTACCGTGGTAACGGTTGCTATGCGACTGGTAGTTTAAGAAACAGAGTGACACAAGCAACTCTTGTACCCGGAAAAATCTGTATCTTATCTGAAGCATTAATGTAAAGAGGGTGAGTTGGTACAGTAATGAAACCAGACTTTTTCACAGCTGAGATCTTACAAAAGGTGAAATGCTTAAGATACATACGTAAGCTAATGTGATTTAAGTAATATTACTTAACATTTATTGCATACTGAATATTGTTACAAAACAATTTGTACATATCTAATACATACGAGTTATGTATCTAAGCTGTCACATTGAAACGATAATCTGATCTTCAAACAACGAGTACTATGAATGATGACAGACTAAATTAACTTCAATAACATTGATTTATCTAAACGATAATAATCTGGTCGTCACATAAACATTATTTAAGTGTTAATACTTTAAGGCATTTTTCATTATGTGTGATCTACAAATTTATTTATTTATTTATTTATTAAGTTGCACCAACAAAGTGATCATCAATACAAAACATTGACAAATTGACAAAAGTTCATGGCAGATGTCACCTCAATTATAGGTGCAATCGACAGTGCATTAACATCAAAAATAAAAAAAATATACAGCTAAGATTTGAATACATTTCATTCATTGCTTATGATTAATTTAATTGNGGAGGACCGCGACTGTTGATCCAGAAAAGCAACTTTGGCCATAAGACCGCGATTGTTCACACGGAGATCTTCACATTCTCGCTCCAATTGTTTCATTGTTGCAGATTGAGCACCCTGCACAGATCTGATCCTTTCCAATTCTTCGTTAAAGAATGATAGCGAAGATTCCAAGGTTGACACAGCGTTCTGAACTTCCATTAGCTTGGGCAAGAAACTCATCTTAAACAAGTTCTGTAGCTCCTCTCGAATAATGTCACGGATCCCCTCAGCTGGCATACAAGAAGAGCTATGGTCGACCACGCGAGTTTTGGTACGGTGGGTGACATAATCGTGTTGCGGAGTGGACGCCACTCGAACCGGTGTGTCAGAATTGTCGCCCCCCTTTCGGTCCCTGCTACAACATAACACGCACAACCAGACAGCTTTGATTTCATTGGTCATGGCAGTATAATCCTTCAAGGAAATATTCAAGCAGGAGTGGTGAAATACGGCATCACAACGGGAACAGCGCAAGAACGGCGTGTCCTTTATTTTATCGAGGCATCCCGCACATTAGATAAGGGTTGCCATTTTGATGATCGGAAGAGAAAAATATATTTAATGAAATAAAAATATTGCTGAATTCACCTCTGAAGTACAGTACGCCGAGTACGGTCCTGTGTCGTTATTTCAACCGACCGTCGCGTCGAAGATGTAATGAAGGTAGTTTAATGCGGCAATCCAGATGTTTTTGCGTCGAAAATGTATTTACGATATCCCAAACGTCCTTATCGAAGCATCAAAATGACGGAAATACACTAATTATTGATTATCACAATGACTAAGAGTCGGCACTTTACTCAACACTCGAAGATATTAAATTAAATGAGGAGCAAATTTGACAAGATGTTGACGTATCGTTGACGTACGATAAATTGTAGATTTGTGGGGAATCCCCAATTTTTTTCTGATTTCCTGTAATTTACAGAACTATTTATTAACTTGCAACACATAGTTAGTTTTCCGTAAGTACTATCACCATCATAAACAAACCATCAACAAATCGTTAATGCTACAAACAAACAGATCGTCAACTTTCTCAGTACTGCAATACTTTAGGACATTTTTTCATTATGTGTGATCTACAAATTGTAGGTTTGTGGGGAATCCCACATTTTTTCTGATTTCCTGTAATTTCCAGAACTATTTATTAACTTGCAACACATAGTTAGTTCTCCGTAAGTACTATCACCATTATTAACAAACCATCAACAAATCGTCAACGCTACAAACAAACAGATCGTCAACTTTTCTCAGTACTGCAACTTTTGTACATTTTAAGCTATAATCTACATTTTAAGCTATAACTATACGTATCTAGCAACCCTATGCACTTTAAAATAGATTCTATGTTAGTATTTAAAATAGTCTAGTATAGTATATCTATGTACTGTAATCTGTTAAGTATAAATTGTATTATCTATGCAGTTAACATCTATGTTGTAAATTAGTCTATAATCTATGGCTATCTACAGTATAAACCTTGTCTAAGAGGTAGACTTTTCTTGTTAATATCGATTGTTCGCGTTTAGTTAGCCTTAGTTAGTCGAGCCTTTCTTGAGAATTACATCTGGATTTTTGAGGTTTTATCTGGAAGTATTGCATTTGGAAGATACCTTTACCCATAAAATGTATTAAGCACTTGTTTAAGTTGACTTTTACAAGAACCACTATTGTAGCGTTTTATCTGCAAATTCAGACAAACAGCTTTAACATTGTAAATTATTATTTACTGACATTCTTAATTGTTTAAGACGAGCAATTAGTTTATTTTATCCCAAAGGCTCAAATCAATGAGCCACAACTTAAGACACTGTTAATAAGATTTGTGTGAAAAGAAACGTACCTATTAATATCTTTGACGAACATCTTAGTTGTCTGTGGAAAAACGAAACAGGAAATATGGTTGTCTCTGTCTAAGTTAGTACAAGAAAAATAATAAATGCAAAATTACTTACTACAAAACTTTTGTTTGATGTTCATAAAAACTATAAGTCTTCACGAGGAAGATACAATAATTAAATCTATTCGTATAGAATAATATTCTCTAATGTTCTCAGATCGATGACTTTATTTTAAATGGAGAGAGACAAAGAGTGATGGAGCATACTCTTTCTCTTTCTCGCCAGTGTTGCTATAGATACGCGTTGATCTCGTTAAGTGGCAAGTAAACGAGTGCTCGTGTATGTGGGATGGCAGTGCGCTCTTCAGACGGTAAGGGTACAGACGCCACGGTCCCAGGGCCCAGGTCTTCGTCAGCGCCACCTGTCGAGCGTTAGCGATTCCGATTCGGCCTCCGCCCTGAAGTCGTCCTGGAGGGCGCCATCTTCCCCTTTCTTCCTACGGTTTCTGTTAACAAACCGAATTTAATTAATTGGAAATTGCGCTTTTATTTTAAATTTAAATGCAATGAGGTTTTTTTATTGCTTAGGTGGGCGGAGGAGCTCACGGCTCACCTGGTGATAAACATCTACGACGTAAATGCCGCCTCCCACCTTGAGATATAAGTTCTAAGGTCTTAGTATAGTTACAACAGCTGCCCTACCCTTCAAACTGAAACGCATTACTGCTTCACGGCAGAAATAAGCAGGGTGGTGGTACATACCTACCGTGCGGACTCACAAAATGTCCTGTCACCAGTAATTACGCAAATTATAATTTTGCAGGTTTGATTCTTATTACACGATCTTATTCATTCACCGTGGAAGTTAATCGTGAACATTTGTTAAGTACGTATTACCACGTGCCATTACCATATTACGAGGTGCCAGATTTTAAATGCAGGACAAGTTTTATGGTTGATGAGATTTCAAATCTAAACTGTTAGTAACTAATGAGAAGACGCAAAGACACCATCCCCATGCCCGTTACGGTCACGAAGTGACCATGCATGCCGGCATGGTCGTCATGGACCCCACGTCTTAAGGCGGGGGTGGCCTCACGGGGTTGGATAACTTCACAATGTCATCTCGTTTAACCATTTCAGTAAACTAGTTAACTTAAGCATTATTTTAAAGGGATTTCATGACCTGGTAACTAAGACCTTTAGGTCAAGTCTTATTTTAATTTTAATGAAAACTTTTTTGTATGAAAAATGATTTTATGAAATGAAATGAAATGGAAACGAAATGAGATGAGATGATATGGTAATTTACTGAGACTTTTTCAGTGCATTTTTTGGAAGATCCCCAGAAGTTTCGTCCAGCGGCTTTGTTTTATTTTCCCAAATTTGTGCACTTTCACAGATACTAAACAGTTAATAAACCATCGTTATTACACATTTAAACGTGAAGAAACACTAAATAGACAAAATAAAACAAATCACACAACTTCACTCCTCGCGTTCCCGCCAAAAAGTCCACATAAGCATTTGACTGCGACCGTATTAATGGGTGGGGCAGACCCACCTATAAGTCCCTCGGGTTCCACGTACTGTTATACAGTCCCTCTCCGAGGTCGTTTTAAAAAGAAATTACATTTAATTTAAATAAAATTTATTGATTTATATTATGTATTACAAAGGGGAGGGAAACCTTAAGCTAGCGATTGACGCGAGAGCTCAGAATAGAGACTGTCTGAAAAGCGAGCTATTTGTGATTTTACTCAGACCTGTCGTGCTGTATGGACCTGAGTGTTGGGCGACGAGATTGAAGCGTGAAAGAGGAGTGCATGCGGCAGAGATGCGAACGTTGAGATGGATGTGTGGAGTGACAAGAATGGACAAGATAAGGAATGAGTATATCAAAGTAGCCCCGGTAATCAACAAATTAAAGAGCGGACGGTTAGCGTGGTATGGACATGTGATGCGTAGAGAAAAGATGCATGTGACTAGGAGATGTATGGAAATGGTAGTGCAAGGTAGAAGGGGAAGAGGTCGACCGAAGAAGACATGGATGGAGTGTGTGAATGACGATATGAGAGAGAGAGAGAGGAGTGAGTATTGAGATGACGGCTGATAGAAGAGGATGGAAGAAAAAAATAGCTGTGCCGACCCCACCTAGTGGGATAAGGTGGAGAAAAAGAAGGCTCATGAAACTGCTGAAAAAGCATAGATATCGAAATGTATGACCGAGGGCTGTGTATTTAGGGTTCAAGTAGACGGTTATAACATTACGCACGGATATCGTTAGAAGCGCGGGTGCGTGGGTCCCCCGCCCCAGGACCTACCTCTTGGGATACGGTTCCTTGAGGTGGAAAGTCTTGTAGTGGAGCTTGACGCTGTTGCTTTGCGTGAAGCGTTTGTCGCACAGGGAGCACGCGAACGGCTTCTCACCAGTGTGCGTCTGCGGCAACAATATCGACACAATGCATTCAGGTTATTCTCATTTGTAGTTTAAGAAAAAAAAAACCTAAGCTTTGACTGTGTTTTTTTTTATTGCCTTGATGGGTCGACGAGCTCACAGCAGACTTGGTATTAAGTGGTTACTGGAGCCCATAGACATGTACAACGTAAATGCGCCACCCACCTTGAGATATAAGTTCTAAGGTCTCAAGTATAGTTACGACGGCTGCCCCACCCTTCAAACCGAAACGCATTACTGCTTCACGGCAGAAACAGGTAGGGTGGTGGAACCCACCCGCGCGGACTCACAAAAGGTTTTATACATCGACATTAGGGTTATCTGTGTAACTATGTAGTTATAGTACAGGCACTCACCAGCTGGTGCCTCGTCCAGCTGCTCTTGGAGTTGAAGACGACGCCGCACGTGGTGCACGTGTACAAGCGCTCGCGGGTGTGCGTGTTCAGGTGCGACTGGATGCTCACCGGCTGACACACACAGAACACGTGGCTATATTAGTGTTACGCGCTGGGGTTCGAGATCGATAAAAAAATCACCAAAGCATAACTTAAAAACTGTATTCGACACTTAAACACCCAACGATTCGCTTCAGGTGATCCATTCGCTGTTTCGCTTCGAGTTGTTCCAATTACTGACTGACTGCGTGCCATCTCTACAATGCTTTTATAGCCGATACCTCATCTCTAGAATTATCGAGAATATTCTACACATCCCTAGTAGTAGTTTCCGCGATCTGTGCATAGATGGCGTTGTACTTCTCGAGCGTTCTGGGCGCTACTAGATCCTTCGATATTCGTTCGACTATTCGGCGATAGATGGAGTTACTCTTTCCAGCGTAACAGTAGTATAGTACTGGTGGTAGGGCCTCGCGTGAGTCCCCACTTGCAGGTACCACCACCTTGCTTATTTCTGCCGTGAAGCTGTAACGCGTTTCGGTTTGAAGGGTGGGACAGCCGTTGTAACTATACTGAGATCTTAGAACTTATATTTCAAGGTGGGTGGCGCATTTATGTTGTAGATGTATATGGGCTCCAGTAACCTTTTAACACCAGGTGGGCTGTGAGCTCGTCCACCCATCTAAGCAAAAAAAACAAAAATATATACAGGGGGAGTGGCAGCTGCCGCCATCTTGTCTTCCGGTTTGAAGACAGAGGTTTTTTTTTCTACCTATTCACTGGTAGCCTAAGAGGCTATTCCAGCTACGTCCAGACGGGTAGGTAAGCTCACGGGCTCTACCTGAGAGAATTAACTAACACAAGCCCTAGCAAGAGCAGTGCTTCGCAAAATCTACCACCGGATTCCAATCGCGACTAAATGAGAGGGTCCGGCGAGAAACTCAGTGGATATGAAGAGTGAGATGATTGTTATACAATTAATCCTCGTATAAGACGCTAGATATATTCCTACAACGAAACCGTGTTCTATGAAACTAGAAGCCAGTACAAAAAGGGGGTTCAAATGGGTTCATAGTGCATAATGTAATTTTCTAAATAACTTTAAACAAAAATCTCGTTAACGTGTTGTAGAAGTAGCGTATTATTGGAGGGTTACTAGGACTTCGACCTAATGTCTCTATGTGGGTGGCGGCGTTCACGTTCCAACATCCCCGGGTATCGGCAACCAGAAGAATATCGCAGCGATCATTATAGTGGATGAGTCGTTGAGGGGCGGGGGGCGTTGGGGGCGGGGGTGCGGACACCGGTCAAGGGCGCTCCACTTACAGCCAGCGAGACACCGCATATCTCGCAGATGTGGCGCGGCTCGTTCGGGAAGAACGGCGTCCGGGGGTGCTCGGAGTGGTGGTGCTTCATGCAGGCCGCCTGCGTCGGGAACACCTTGCCGCACTGGAAATTGCACCTTAGGGTTAGTGTAGCAGCGACATAGGAATTGCATTTGGTGAGTCCACAAGTAATTTAAAAAAAAAAAGATTGACACTTGAGTTGATTTGAAACAAAAATCTAAAAGAATTGGTACAAATTATATGCGTTACGTTAAAGCCAAATCTGTTCTGCCGCATTTCACTGTCGGGTCGTCGTCATTACTGACACGACTGAAGAAGGGAGGTTTTGAAGGGTGCGAGAGGAATACCGTCCTCCCCGGGAGCTTTGCTCATTCGTTTTCATGAGGACCCCCAGCAACACGCTGGGAGTGACTAACACGTCAGCTCCCAACTCGACTCCCGGCGATTATGGTTTAAGGAATTGGATTACGCCCTCTGACACCTCTGGATAGAATGCAGCCATCGAGTGTGCGGAGTCATTCGAAGTGAACTGCCGCTTCTGCGATTCTGCCAGGACTTCGGCGAGCCAACGGCGTAAAACACCGACTTTCCCCCTCGTCCACCAAGGGACAAGGGGGGAAGGCTTTTGGGTGAGCCGGCGACAGATGCGGTAAAAAGGGCGGCCACTGTACGGTGGCCGGATGCGTCCTACAGTCCTCCCTCCCAGGAGACACCACAGAAAGTCCGCACCTTAGTCGCCAGCTCATCCTCAAGTCTGTCTCTGTCCTGGGACATCTGCCGCGTTTCTAGTAACATTATATTAGTAATTTCTTTGTATGAAGACTACGCGTCCGGAACTGCTTTAGTCTGCATTTTTATTTATAATTAGCGACCCGCCTCGCTTCGCTTCGGAAACATTAAATTTTATTATTAATAACCGAGTCTCGCGATATTACCCGCGGTTATTATTATTGTCGTACCGCGGGTGAAGCCGCGGGCCGAATCTAGTCTAAAAAAAGTAGCCTAAGTTACTCCTTATATCATCAGCTACCTATCAGTGAAAGTCCCGTCAAAATCGGTCCAGCCGTTCCAGAGATTAGCCGGAACAAACAGACATAATTGTAAAAAATGTTATTTTGGTCTATGTACCGTATATAATAATATATTCATTCATGTAGTAAAAAGCGGTTATTTCAATACTACAAACAGACACTCCAATTTTATTATGTATAGATGTGTTGGTATTCAAAGGCATGTGTTAAACAGTACAACAGCGATGCTTCAGGTCTGGTTAATGAACCAGATCTGAAGACTAATGAAGTTAGTACCATCAACGTGACACAGATGGCGACTGTTGACACTCACGTAGCTGCAAGTGGTCGGCTTCCGGGGCGTCCTCGTCCCTTTCCGCCTCAGCACCTTGGGACAGGCCGGCGCCGGTACGTCTTCAGCCATCGCTCTGGAGAACAACACGACAACGTTACTGCGCGCCATTACTGCACACAATCCTAGATGTGGCCGAACGCCCGGCTGTATAACTGATACATGAACGAATTGTAATCGCCGCATTCTTCGGTTTTCCCCAATCGTATAAAAAAAAATTTAATTATTCTCGAAGGTTCCAATAATAAGAGATTTCTTATACCCTCATGCCCCTAGACAGGATATGAGGCCAGAACGATATTTTTTTTTTATAAAATTCGGTCCTTGAAGTTTATGAGAATCGCACTACAAGATTTTATTACAGACAGATTATGAAACTCATTAAAAAGCAATTACAAATCGCGTTAATCCCTCCCCACCCCTACAATCGGGATCCCTGCATCGTTCAGGTCGTCGCTGGCGTCACGAATCTGTCACAAGACCTGAACCCCGCGTCTCAAGCTGGTCTCCGGTAACCATTTACCATCGGGCAATAAACAAAAACAATCTACCCTCTTGTTTATTTAAATACGCGACGTTATTGATTAGTCCGTGTAAGACTACATTTTTTACTGGTGTTAGGTCCTCTTGTGAGTCCACACTTGTAGGTACCAATACCCTGCCTATTTCTGCCGTGAAGCAGTAACGCGTTTCGGTTTGGAGGGCGGGGCAGCCGTTGTAACTATACTTGAGACTTATTCGATGGCGCATTTACGTTGTAGATGTCTATGGGCTCCAGTAACCACTTAACACCAGGTGGGCTGTGAGCTCGTCCACCCATCTAAGCAATAAAAAAATAAAAAAGACGTTGTCGTCGTGTGGTGGGTGGGTGCTTTGGACAAGTACCCACTCTGGCTCCACTGAGTGCATGTCTGAGTGAAAGAGATGCTCCTCAAAAGCTTCCTTCGTCTCGAACTTGATGTCGCAGCGCTCGCAGTACGTGTTCACCTCGCCCTGCTGCTTCACGCCTCCTGCGGACTGTGGACAACACTTGGCGGTAACGCGGTGCCTTTGCAAGGCGAGTGCAAGACCCATCTGGTGGCACTCAGGCATTAGATAACGGCAAGTGTCATAGCTCAGCTTGAGACATGCGGTTCAGTTTTAAATTGTGTTCAAATTTAATCTATATGGAATATTAAATGTCTGTCTGATGGGAAACACAAAATCTGACTGACTGATGGAAAACACAAAAAGTTCATTCCCGATTCTGCGGAAAAAATGGAAAGCAGTCGACGTCGTCCCAAACACGTCATTTCGGATCCTCCCGATCCACTAACGGTGCTTTTAGGTACCTCAAGCCCCGGTCACCGTTCTCGTCGAACCCGTCGCTTGCGACGAAGGGCTCGACGAGTAAATTAACCTACAGACACAGCCCACTGAGTTTCCCGCTGGATCTTCTCAGTGGGTTGCGTTTCCGATACGGTGGTAGATTCTGCGAAGCACGGCACTTGCTAGGGTTCGTGTTAGCAACGTCGTCAGGTTTGAGCCCCTTGAACTTACCTACTTTTTACGCAGAAATGGCCTCGCAAGGCCATCAGCTTAGGTAGGGAAAAAAGCTTTAGGTTACGCACCGGCTTGTCGTCGATGTGCTTGGCCAGCTTGTGCAGATGCAGGCCGGCCTCGCTCACGAACGAGACGCCGCACAGCGTGCACAGGTACTGGCTGCGGTGCGTGCGCAGGTGCGTGTAGTACGTCGACGAGTGCCTGGAACGAGATGGTACTTATCGGGATCTTGCTGGTGGTACTATGGCGGTCGATACTCCGCATATTGCGTACGCATAATGCGTTTCGGTTTGAAGGGTGGGGCAGCCGTTGGAACTATACTGAGATCTTAGGACTTATATCTCAAGGTGGGTGGCGCATTTACGTTGTAGCTGTCTATGGGCTCCAGTAACCACTTAACACCAGGTGGGCTGTGAGCTCGTTCACCCAACTAAGCAATTAAAAAAAACTGGCCAGCCACTATCAAACCAAACCCCCATCCCGCAAGGCATTTCCTGTCGGAAATGGCTTTGAATAGAGTACAGTCTACGGCGCAGCGGAGTCAACGCAGCATCAATCGCGTTTGAGTGGCAACCGCGTGGCAGGAGAAGACCTGGTCGCCGTGTACACACTTGGCAACCCTCGCGGAGAGCGACATGAGGACTGCCGACGTGACCTGGAGTGATATCAAGGAGCCAGCGCAAGACAGTCAAGTGGAGACAACTTGTGAGAGCCTGTACTAGCGGGGTACCCTAGGACTACAACAACAACAATAACTGGTGGTAGGACGTCTTGGGAGTCCTCACGGGCAAGTACCACCACCCTGCCTATTTCTGCCGTGCAGCAGTAATACGTTTCGGTTTGAAGGGCGGGGCAGCCGCTGTTCTGATATAAGTGAGACCTTAGAACTCTTATCTGAAGGTAAGTGGCGGCATTTACGTTGTATATCTATAGGCTGCGGTAACCACTCAAAACCAGGTGGTCAGTGAGCTCGTCCACCAAACTAAGCAATTAAAAAAAAATTAAATAAAAACATGCACATTATAAAAAAGAAAAATGTAAAGGGACATTTAAATCTATTTATCAATGGAAAAACAAAATTGTAATTTTTATTTAATTCCGAACATTTTCATATTTATATCTACCTTTTAAACCTTCTCTGGACTTCCACAAATAATTCAAGACCAAAATTAGCCAAATCGGTTCGGCCGTTCTCGAGTTTTAGCGAGACTAACGAACAGCAAATCATTTTTATATATATAGAAGAAGAAGATAGAAGATTAACTTTAGTATTTAGGTAACTGTTGTTCCAATGCATCAGAGACACACTTTGGGGTGAAGATAAGTCGAGGTGTGGTCTACTAGCTACAATAATATATGAAATTAAAAATGCTAAGCAAAGCTTTTGTGGTAATGTCAGTTATTGGCACGCATTCAGAAAAGCATAGATAATATTCATTTATGATTCAGATGAGCACAAGCTAATTAAAAATGGTTGAAAATGATTAGTATCCAATTAAGAATTAAACCTACCTAAATTCTTCCCCACAATGCTTACATTTCCTTATAACACCATTGTGATAATCTTCGTGGAATACTGCAGATGATCTGAAATTTTATCCTTTGTCAAAACTGTGTACAGAATTAGAAGTATGACATATTGTAAGTCGGTTTTATATTTTTTTTAAATAATGCTTCTGGAGTATTTCCGTGCAATCTTTTCTACCATGGCTGCGGCTTCAATTTTGGTATAGTACAAAATGTGAGAAACTCTCAACTTCCTACTCCTCCTGGTTCCTTGTTGAATAGTAGTTGCAGTAGTAAGGCATCTTGAGATAATGTTTGAGTACATCTGGCCTGCCCGTTTCTCTCAGATACTGGTAAGGTTTTAAATATTTACTGTAAGTACCAAGCATGTCCTGTAGCTTCTTCTTGCTCTTATGCCTCTAAGTGGGGTCAACGCAGAATGTCTTCTTTTGCCATTCAGGCCTATCATACGCCAACTCTGCACTGACAACCTTTTCTCACATTATCTCTGTCACACAGTACACCCAAGTCTCATAAGGATGTCCTCTCTACTGCCCTGCATTTTTTATCTTTTTTTTTATCACCTAGGTGGGTGGACGAGCTCACGGCCCAACTGGTGTTAAGTGGTTACCGGAGACCATAGACATCTACAACGTAAATACCGCCACCTACCTTGAGATATAAGTTCTAAGGTCTCAGTATAGTTACAACGGCTGACCTACCCTTGAAACTCATTACCGCTACACGGCACAAACGGGCGGGTGGTGGTACCTACCCGTGCGGACACACAAGAGGTCCTACCACCAGTAAAGTTTTGGACCCTCTAAATTTATAATTTAGAAAGAACAAAAGTAATTGCTGCATCCCAGGAAAAATAATTGTTTGTAAACTAGACAATCTGTGGATCCTTTGTCATGGACAAGAATCAGTAAACACAGTCACCTAATTTATTTTTATATGATGTACTGGCGTTGCCCCAACCAAGTCATTTAACATGATAAGCAGACGTGTTTAAAAGCTATATTAGTGCAAAATTTCACCTAAGTCCATTCAGCTTCATAAACGGCCGTCTGGTGTAGTGGTAAGTGACATGGTCACTACACAAGGGGGTCGCGGGTTCGTATCCCGTCAAGGGAAGATATTTGTATGATAAATATAAAAATGTCTTTTCCAGGGTTATGGATGTATATTAAATATATGTATGTGTATAATAAAAATATTACATTTATTTCCGTTATCTGGTGCCTGTAACACAAGTTCTTTACGAACTTACCACGGGACCAGTTAACGTGGCGTGATTGTTAGTAAATATTTATTTATTTATTTATATAACTATTTTTTCATTATTAAGTGACAAACATATGTACATACTTCCACACTTATAATACTGATTTAGATACTTACTCAATCGTACAAGTTAAATTACATCTCAAACATTTGTATATAGTGTAGTGTCGGGGCATGTGTCTGTTCAGAAAACACTTCCACTTGAAACGCATGTGACAGAACTTACATTCGATTGGTCCGAGAGTCTGAAAAAATATGACACTTTACTACTTTCTCATTACAGTAAGACTATATTTTGTGTAGCTCTATTAGTTAAATGGTAAAAATAACCAATTTTTTTTATTTTTTTTTTATTGCTTAGATAGGTGGACGAGCTAACAACCCACCTGGTGTTAAGTGGTTACTGGAGCCCATAGACATCCACAACGTAAATACGCCACCCACCTTGAGATATAAGTTCTAAAGTCTCAAGTATAGTTACAACGGTTGCCACACCCTTCAAACAGTAACGCATTATTGCTTCACGGTAGAAATGGCAGGGTGGTGGTACCCCCCACGCGGACTCACAAGAGGTCCTACCACCTAATTTTGCGGGTTTCATTTTTATTACACGATGTTATTCCTTCACCGTGGAAGTCAGTCGTGAACATTTGTCGAGTACGTATTTCATTAGAAAAATTGGTACCTGCCTGAGATTCCAACACCGGTGCATCCCCAACATGAATGCGCCGGACGTCTTATCCGTTAGGCCAGACGACCTAATTATCATTACTAAATCTCACCTCAGAATGACGTAATTTAGTGTGTCTGTCCAGCATATCCTGTTTTGAAAACCCTTTATAACACTGATAACATCTAAAAGGAGACTTCAAGAACTTGGGATCTTCTGCTTTGGCCTTAAAACTCTTCTCAGCCTCTTCTTCTGAAAGGTAAACAGTTAACCAGTTTTTAGGGTTCAAATAATTAGCTCTCTTTGTTTCAGCTTTAAATTTCTCCGTTTCCATATCTTCTACCTTCTTTGGCTTCTTAAATAATTTCTTTTTAATTTCTTTCCCATTTTTTATGCAATCTGATTTCCTTTTTCTAGTAACTCTCTTTTCTATTACAGGTTTTTTTATTTTAATTAATAATTCATCGTCAGATGAGAATTTATCTTCTTCTATCTTAAGGGACGGGTCTTCAATAGGTTGAATAGGTTCATCATCTACTTTCTCATCAACTAGTAAAGGTTCACTGAAAACCTTATCTTCCTGCTCATTCAGTAATGGTATTACATTATCTGTGAACACAAGCTCTAAATTCTTTTTGTCCTCAACAACTACTTCTTCTACAGCAGTTTCATCTATATCATAATCGGAGTTGTTACGTTCTTGGACATCTGAATAGTCACTCTGAGAATCAATTTCAATTTTTTCGATTTCCGGAACCCTTGTTTCATAATTTGAACTTCGGTGTCTTATTATCTGTGTTTTTACCCTTTCATTAGCGATGACTATACCTAGATTAGATTTTAGATTCTTTTTCTCTCTGTCTATTCTATTTACAGCTGTGTAAGTAAGCTGTTGAAAATAAAAATTTATATTGAAAATGAATTTGTAATTAATGTTAGTAATTTTTTTTGACGTTCAATAAGTATGTACTTTCATTGATGTTGAATAATTTTTTTTTGATTTGATTTGATTTGATACTAAGCCACTTTTATAGAATCTTGGTTACCAGGTGGTGAAAGCAAATAGGATTATCTAATCAGGATACAACATAAATTCAATATATGCACAAGAGCTAACTGAATTATTGACTACTTCAATTATTCTATTATATTCTGTTTAAGAGTTCTTTTGATATAATATCATTCGTAAATAAACATAGTTACTAATCATCAGTAATTTTTATTGCTCTCAACAGATAGTTGAGCTTACAGACCACCTTAAATCTCAATTGTGGTGTATCTATGCACAAATGCATCATCACAGAGAGCGCTATGTTTCTGAAGCTTACACTGGTAACTTTACAATTTGGACATACCTATCTTGGGTTTGAATTTACAATTAATTGAAGTAATGTGTGAATATGTGTTAGCTACATGTTTATGTGCTCAGTAACTACCTCATGGATTTGATTTTGTTACCTCGTGTCTTATTTGTATCATACATTGTCAGTACACAGTATGTTTTAGAATAGACTTATTATATCTAAATATACGACAGTTTCAAGCTTTTCCACTTATTTCTATTTTCAACAAAAAATCATATTTTAAATGAATTTCAGTTTATTTACTAACACTTCCTTTGATAAGGATCTCTTTGAGGGCTTTCTGTCCAATTTTGCATTTCTCCTTAAATTTGTGGAATTTGTACAGCATTGTGGCACATTCATAACAGAAGCACTGAGGTAGTCCGTCCCGATGGTCAATCTGTAGATTGGGTAAAGAAATAACTATACTTTTAACTTTAGTAAAAACTTAAGGTATAGGGGTGCACTATTTTTTTTTTATTATTTAAATAGGCCAAAACAAAACACTGTTGACATACTTTTATTATTTTATTAGGTTTATTTTAATTTTGGGCAGTTTTCGAACTCTTGACCACACTCTCTTAAATAAAGACATGAATTTTTTGCAACTGGGTATGAATTATGTGAAGAACTATAAATTTCAATGTTTAACTGCTTTTTTGTTGGACCATGTCTTGTATAATGTCTAGATAGTTATATCTCAGTTAATCTAACCATTACATATTCGTGTTTATGTACATATTTGTGTTTACACAATAATCTTGTTTAGAAAATGATTGATTGTTGTTGTTGTTTTACTATGACTTAATATTAATTTCCATTTTTTTTACATTTTCAATATTATTTACATATTTATTAAAAATAAAAAATAAAAACACTGGCTACATTCGTAAAGATAAAAATATGGGTTTTGTTGTAACAGTATCAATTTAGTTAAAACAAAGCTTATGTTTTTTTTTTTCAAAAGCACAGAATTTGAGTACCTTTTCAGCCATAATTTCTTCATAAAAACACTTTAACTGGCATCGATCGTATTTATACATTGTAACATCTTTGTTGAGGCATACCCGGCATACTTTTAGTTCAGGCATATCAGTAAATACAGGTTATCTAAATACTAGTGTATCTTATTCAGTTATTTCAGTGGAAACAAGAAAATTATGAAATGCTGAGACGCTAAAATCATTACACTGTGCACGGAACTTGACAGTCTGTGGCTGTGTTGCTGTTAGCAAAAATCTTTCGTATTCTTTGAAACAGAAACTAACTCTAACTCACTGAAGTAGGATCTATGCTCTAACTACATAATGGACCTGTCGATTCTATTAATGTATAAATATAAATACCTTATATTTTTTGCAACTTGAATCAAATATGTTCTGAACAATAATTTCAGAGCTACCTCTAGATTTTCTCTCGAGACAAAATATACTTTTTGGCGGAAATTTTAAAAATACTATATAGTGAACGAATGATTATTTTACTACTTTACCTACCCTACGTCTACGAAGACATTTCTTTGTTCATAAGTTCTGTAAGCAAAGCTGTAAAAAAAAGTTTGAAATATTAAATTTGATTTTTCAAAAACGCCATTCAGCTTCATGCTTATTTTATAATTACGCTAAAAATGTGTAAAAATGCCTGTTAATTAATGTTGAAAATTACCCTTGTTTTTTTGTTGATTGTGAAAGGATGTTTTTTTTTTTTCAAAAACAATATTCATTTAAACAATTTAAACGAAAGTATTCGTACACAATGAGATAAAAAAGAGCTGTAAGAGAAAACATATATTAGTCAACAAAGTGACAGCATCGCTATACCGTAATCAAGCCCGACTTGTAGAAAAGCAAATTTACAAATTAACGGCTTAAATTAATTTAATAAAGATTCAAGAGATATTGTACCTAAGCTATTAAATTTTAATTAATCACATCTCTGTCTCAAACTCATCCACTATCTTATCAAGTCAAAATTATGTGTCAAATCTTCTGTCAAAAGCAACCACAGCACAGTATATCCTGTTTTTTTTTTAAATATACTCATAGCCTTTTTTTATACTTGCCTTCATGTTTTCAGTGAGTACTTTTTTCGAACTTCACGTTGCAGCTATGTACATTGAGCACTGTGACATCAGCGACAGCCAAGCGTAAAAGTGTTTTCAATCAAAGCCAAGCTTTTTCCTAACTAAATAAACAAAACAAGCGATGATTGTGTGGTTCTAGCGTAACGCGAGCTCGTCTAAAAGTTTTATTAGCGGGTTAGTGGTATACGAACTTAAATTAGATAGGTTGAAAATTTGACCTTATTTTGTTATAACTATGCAAACTAATTTCAATGTAAGTGGCTGGTTTGTGTTATTCTACAAATCATAATACCACAGTAATTTAATTAAAAGTCGTTCTGATGCTGCTACTACTAGACAACATTTTCTTTGAGATTGCCTACAGTACTGGGAGTACATAAGTACTATTAAAACGCGTTCAAGAATAATTTCAACGGCAATGGAATTACATTAAAAAAATCAAACCAGCTAAATTTATGATCATCGGTAGTCAGTAGTAGCTTGGCTGTGCATCTTGCTGACATCTATGAGCGACGGTAACCAGTCCACCATCAGATGGTTCATATGGAGAGTCTGTTGCATTGTTAATAAAAAGCGGATTTTCGTAATTACTAATGCGCAAAGGTAGAACATAGGTACTTCAAGTCTGGCAGTTTCCACCATCCCACCTATTTCTGCTGCGAAGCAATATGACTTCCGGTTGGTTGTGAGAGTAGTTCGACGAGCGAACTAACCCATAGACACAGCCCACTGAGCTTCTCGCCGGATCTTCTCAGTGGGTCGCGATTCCGATCCAGTGGTAAATTCTGCGAAGCACTGCTTGCTAGGACTAGCGTTCGCAAAATTTCTTGTATTGAGCACGCGAGCTCACCTCTCCGGGCGTAACTGGAATAGCCCTCTTGGCTACCAGGGATCGGTATGGAAAAATGTGACAGTAGTAATTGTGAAATATGATTGAGTTAAAATCTCATGTCGGAAGGTGAAGAAATAACATGGTGTAGTAGTCAAACCCGCAAAATTATAAATTACCTACGTAATTACCGGTGGTAGGACGTCTTGTGAGTACGCACGGGTAGGTACTTAGGTACCATCACCCTGTCTATTTCGACCGTGAAGCAGTAATGCGTTTCGGTTTAAAGGGTGGGGCAGCCGTTGTGACTACTGAAACCTTAGAACTTACATACACACCTCAAGATGAGATCGTGCAACCACCTAAGCAAAAAATAAATAAAAAAATGCCTGATCATCTACAGTCGATAGACTTTACTTTTAGGAGGAAATAGGGTAATACGAAATGATTCGACGAGATCGATTCCGGCCTTTTAACACCGGTGGGTTTATGTTAACGAGTCATTACGTCCGTGCCCTACCCTAGTCTTTTATGATATCAAGTGTAACATCTATGGATGTGACGGAAGTAGATTTAGTATTTATTTATTTAACAGTCTCTTGGCTTCTAGTATCTTTGTGTCGTATTTTATAGTGTTTATAAATTCATATATTTATTTATTTGTTGCCCTTCTAAGTCGAGTGGGCCAGATTGCATTCCGGCCGTGGTTTTGAAAACGTGCGCCCCTGAGTGAATACCTACGCTAACGAGTTTGTATCGCCTCTCGTATAGTACTTATAGGGTTCCGTCTTCATGGAAGACTGCCTATGTCCACCCTATCCCCAAGAAGGGTGACCGGTCGGACCCATCGAGCTATAGGCCTATCGTTATAACTTCCTTGCTTTCCAAGGTGATGGAGCGAATAATAAATACACATCTCCTGAAGTATCTTGAAGATCGCCAGCTGATCAGTGACCGACAGTACGTTTTCCGTCACGGTCGCTCAGCTGCCGATCTTCTTGTAAAACTTACTCACAGGCGGGCTGAAGCCTTGGAGAGCAAGGGCGAGGTTCTTGCCTTCGACAGGGTCTGGCACAGAACACTTCTGTCGAAGCTACCAGCTTACGAAATCCCCGAGGGACTGCAAGTGGATCGCTAGCCTTTTGCTTCACAAAGCCCGTTTGAAGAAGGACAGGTCATTTCGCGCGGGAAACACGGTGGACGGGAGTTCATTAAATTTTAAAGCCGGATTATATATAATCTGATACCTACTAAAAGGCAAAAATATTTACACGAAGAAATAAGCCAGAACACATACTAGAACTTATTGAGTTAATATTAAGAAATAAATCTGCTTCCAATAAAAAAAATGAAAATGCAAAATGTGTACAGTGAAATGCGAAGTTATAAAAAAATAAATAATTAAAATCAATTTTTCAAAAGCTATTCTTCAAATTTCTACTCTTTTTTTACGATTATTGCTCGATGTAGCTGATAAAGCTAATACCAAGGAAAAGTTCCATAAGCAGTATGTTCCATAAGGCCATTTGACAAATCGGTAAATATGAACTCATTACCCACTTCCCTAGTTCGCGACTACGTTTTATTGGGGTCAGCTTCACTATCTGTACGGTTATATCCGGCTTTGAAGTCAAGCCCAGATTTCGGCCTATAACTTTTATTTTCGATATTATTCTAGTTGACCAGATGTATTTACTTTATCAAATAGAGTGAATGAATAATATTGTAAAATAAAATAGCTAGCTTTTTAATGTGTGTTGAGATATAATTTTAATAAAAATAAAAACATTTCTTCGAAAAAGCCATTTTAAGCTTTGTTGTGCATAATTTTGAATTATGTTTAACCAGTGTGTATGGGAGTCACCCATACACACACAAATTTAGAAAGATTTCTGGTAGTTTTATTTTTCCAACTGGAAATACAAAGGTATACCATACAGCCTAATCTTAAATATTATTATTTTTTATGGAAAATTATAAGATGGCGTGAAATGAAATGAAGTTGATACATTTGAAACATTAATCAATTGGCATGAAATAATATTATTATCGGATGAAATTTAATCTCAGTAAAACGGCGGTTATTTACTGAGACTTTTTCAGTGGACTTTTCGAAGATCCCGAGAAACTAGGTCCAGCGATTTTGTTTAATTTTTTCATATTTGTGCACATTCACAGATACTAAACAGTTAATAAACTACCATTATTATACATTTAAACCTGAAGAAACACTAAATAGACAAAATAAAACAAATCACACAACTTCGCTCCTCGCGTTCCCGCCAAAGAGACCTTGAAAAGATTGGTTTTTCTTATTAACATAGTTATGCTACCGGGAATCGTGACGTGAAGGATAGCCATAATGCCAACACCTACCTTCAGACACACAAACAAACTAAAACAGCAATAAATAAACAAATGTAAACGAGCCAGTGCTTTCCATTAAAGAATTGTGGTTGTTTTAAATCATGATCTTGTGAGTAGTTTGGCTAAATACCAGACTGAAATAAAGTTGCGGGATGTGAATCTATACGACCGCGCGTTGAAATCACCATGACAAAGGACCCGAAGCGAGCGCGTTAGCCAATTAAATTGGGTACGGTGTTGATACACGTGGCTTGCTACCCTTACTGTTCTATTACGGAGTCCACATTCAATTACTGGCCATTCGGAATCTAGGTGCACTTACTTGTTCTTTTAAAGTATGTGTGTAAAAGAGAGAATTGTAGCTTGGGCTCGATTAATGTTCTTAATATTGTTACGCCATAAGAGTAACACCATCTATCGCCGAATAGCCGAACGAATATCGAAGGTACTAGTAAAAAACGTCATCTATTGTCAGATAGCAGAAACACGCATCGAAGCTACTCGACTTGCCCAGAATGTACTCGATAAATCTAGGGATGTCGTAACGACTATAGAGATGGCACGAAGGCAGTTATTATAATAATCGGAACTACTCGAAGGAAAGGATCACCTGAAGCGAAGCGGAAGAAGTGAATTGAGAATTTTAAATTTGTTTGTTAAGTGTTCTCTAAGTATTAATACAGCTTCAATTTATACTTCGGTAGAAAGTTTTATTTATCCCGAACAACAGCGCGTAACACTGTTTCGCATGATGATATATAGGTATCTAATAATAGCAATAGTAGATTGAGGAAATCAATCACATCTTCCGATAAATAGCCTGAATATTATAGCTTTTGGTACGTCTATCAAATTCATTTGCCTTTATAAAAAACAACACGCAACAATGAGGTATTTTCA